TTATAAATACATAATTAATGTTCATTTGCAGTGTGTTATGTACAGTTTTACACACTCTACAAATGTTGAATTATTTAATCTTAACATAGTATTACCACTTTTTTGTAGGTTTATTTTCTTATTATATTCATCCAAATAAGGAAACTGAGCTACAGAAAGGAAAAATAATTTGCTCAAGGTTATAGCTAGTAACTGGCATGATTTGAGCCCAGAGCTAATTCCAAAACCATATATTTTAACCACTCTACCTCTCTCAGTGGTCCTTAAAGACATTAGGTTTTTGCCAAAGGGAGAGTTGGAGGAGGCACTCAAGGTAATGGGAACAGAATGAACAAAGATAAAAACAGGAGTGAAAGAACTTATTTGAAAACTGCAGTATACTCAGACTGATTTAGTGACTTATTTTGTAATGGTATAAAATAAAGCTGGCAATTAAAAAATAGTTGTATACTAGTAATGATGTTAGCTGTCAGAATAAACATACAAAGCAAATAGTTTGGATGAAGGTAATACATTTCTGTGTATTGACAGCATCATTGCTGAATCTCTGGCCTCAAGTCCTTTGCTAAAATAGAATTCTCCTTTTCAGGGAGTGTGTTGATGTTCACCAAGACCGATTAGGTTCGGTGATTCAATAAATGGATTCACAGGACTCAGTATATAATTTTACCTATATCTAAGCTTTGTTACAGTGAAAAAATACAAAGCAAAATTATCAAAGGGAAAATGTGCATGGGACATAAATATGGAGGAAACCAGGCACACATTTCCAGAGTCCCCTACCTGTGGAGTCACAAAGGACACAACTAATTCCTCCAGCATTGAGTTGTGATGACACATGTGAAGTATTTTTTACTAGAGAAGCTCATCAGATGCTCAGCATTCAAGGTTTAAACTGGGGACTGGTCACATAGACATATTCTGCCTATCATGTATCCAAATTCTAGAATTCCAAAGGGAAAGCAGGTCTACAGCATAAACCACGTTGTTTACACAAACAATGAGCCACTCTTATCATTTAAATACAGCTTTGTATCAGCGTAGGAAACCATTATCAGCTGAGTCACCAGGTGCAAGCCAAGGGTAACCTTGCAAAGCAGGAATTTCTGAGGATAGGCAGTCTCAGGCCTGTTATGTTAACTCTTTTTTTTTTTTTTTTTTTTTTGCACAAAGGGTCTCCACAAAAACGTTCTTTATAAGTAAAGGATATTGCTTTTTATTCTGAGGCTGAGATGTCAAGTGAAAGAGGCAACCATATTTTTTTTTAATAAATTCGTTTCTTTGATGTATGCTTGTGAAATGATGGAGACACTAACTCACAATGCTCAAAGCTGGCCTCCGAGTAGACTGAGGCCTCAGACGGAGAAAAATATCTGCAAAACACCCTTGCACTTAAAAGTATAATGCAAGACATTCTTGCAAGTCTTGTAGAAGAGGGTGGCTCAAGCGGATTGGGCAAACCTTAGCTTATCCCCACCTCAAGAGTTCATGGAGTTGTGGTGGTAGGGGGCTTAATTAGACTTGGATGTTCTTTTTCATTCTTTGGGCAACACATGGGTCTCCCTGTAGAGGCCTAGGGAATGGGAGCGGCAATCCAGCAGTGGCTGTGATATTGAGGCTCACGGATTCAATTTAGAGAAAATGAAGATAGGTGGTGTTTCTGAAAGACTGAATTTTCTGATGGCAAATCTACATCTGGTAGAATGAAGAGAAATATCAGAGATATAGAAAAAAAATTGGCTGGCTTTGAAATAGATTAAAACTGAAAGATGGAAAGTTGATATTGGTAATTTTTTAATGAACATGAATGAATATGTGATATGTAAATTTATAATATAAATATAAATGTATAATAAATTGGCATGATGGGATTCAGGGTTATCTGTTTCTTGTGTTTAGTAAGAATTTGTAATTAAATGCAGTTTCACGCATCTAATAATAATTCAAGCAGATTGGATTTAAAAGATAAATTTTATACCTGAAAAAGCCAAACACCAATAGACATACAGATAAACACTAAACTCAGTATCCTCATATCATACAAACTTAAAAAATAACCTTCCCAATGTTGTGATTGTTTTGCTTATACTTCACTTTGAGGTTGTTGGTAATGTTTGACAAACTTTGTTGTAGAATTATGCTAGATCTTTTAAAATATGTTGTATTTTTTAATACAGAAGAAATTCTTACAATCTCAATTGGTTTAAATTTGCAGTCCCTGTCATGCTACATTTTGATTTACTGGTATTTAGAAACACTAGTAGTGTTATACTTAATATAGTATGAGGACTGCTGATTTTATTGTTAAATCTGATTTTGTTGTTTAAATATTTCCTAATATTTCCCATTTTTTGAATCTTAATAGTAATAGCAATACATTACAAAGTGAAAAAAATAGCATTTTCTCCTGAATGAAATAAAATAAGTGATTAAGTAGTATGAATAAAGAAGATGTGATATATATATATATATATATATATATATATATATATATATAATGGAATATTACTCAGCCATTAAAGAATGAAATCTTGCCATTGGCAATGGTGCGGATGGAACTAGAGTATATTATGCTAAGTGAAACAAGTATGAGCAAGACAAATACTGTATGATATCACTGATATGTGGAATGTTTTAAAAGTTTTTTATTCTATTTTTTTTATTTTGACAGAGAGATCATGCACTCAAGAAAGCTGGGGAGTGGCAGAGAGAGAGGGAGAGAAAATCCCAAGCAGGTTCTTTGCTGTCAGCACATGGCCCAATGTGGACTTGAATACACGAACCATGACATCACGACCTAAGCTGAAATCAAGAGTCTGAGGCTTAGCTGAGTGAGCCACCCAGTCACCCTTTATATGTGGAATTTAAGAAACAAAACAGATGAGCATAGGGGGGGTGGGGTGGGGACAAAGAAGGAGGCAAACCATTAGAGACTCTTAATTATAGAGAACAAACTAAGGATTGCTGGAGGGGAGCTGGACAGGGATGGGCTTAATGGGGGATGGGGATTAAGGAGGGCACTTGTGTGATGAGCACTGGGTGTTATATTGAAGTGATGAATCGTTAAATTCTACTCCCGAAACCAATATTACACTGTATGTTAACTAACTAGAATTTAAATAAAAACTTGAAACAAACAAAAATAATAATAAACAACTTACATTAAAATATCAGTTACAAAAATCTGATTTTCTCACATTTTAATGTGTCTAGACCTTAGAAAATTAATCATAAAATGACTGAGTTTTTCATGTAATATCTTCTTTCTAATTCCACTACGTATGATAATTTAAATCCTATTTACACACATATTAAACAAATTTTCATTTTCTTAAAATACTGTAGAGATCTTTACAGGCATTCTGTTGTCCAGTATCTCTCTGATATAAAATCTGCAACTGTAATGAAATATTAATTAAGGAAATCAGAAATTCTGTGTCTTTCATTCCATAAATCTTTTTTTTCAGACATTCAGGAGAATTTCTTCTGTACTTGAGTGCAATGAGTAATAAGCTTTAATATTTTTAAAATGATTACACATTCATTTCACATTACAAAGCTCTCGTACAAAATTACTTCCTTTTACTTTGTCCCAAATATTCTGAATACTAGCAAAGGCTTAATCCCTATAATTTAATTTATCAAGGAGTAGCTTCTGCTCTCCCAGGTTTTATTGTTTGTATAGGGTTAAAATCCTACATTGCTCAATAAATATTTATAGATTTACTGGATATATGCCATTATCTTCTTTCATCTAATGGGTGACTTCAAAAATACAAAGGGACACAGAAGAAAAATAAATAACAGAGGATAAACTATGATAAATAACAGGTGGTGTGAAATGAGTTTTTAAAATTTATTTTTATTTTAATTAAGAACATTTTTTTTTTCCAGCTTTATATCATGGCAGCAAAAAGATTAGATTTTTGTGTTTTCCTTTTGCCAGGGACTCTTATGCTGAAGAATTACTCCTCTAAGATCAGAAAAATAAAACAAAGGTATAAAAATATTACACAGATGTTGCAAATATTAAACAAACACTTAGGGCTGCCTGACAGTATTTCTGGTGCAATATTCTTTTAAAAATGTGTTTCAGTGAAAACCTTTTACAGGAGTTTTTGCACTGCCAACATCTCTTATTCAGGTTCCTAGAGAAATGAAATGTGGGTAGCAGTGACTAATTAAACTAGCAGCTACTGTTTCCCAAACAAGTTTGGACAGATTATATTTACGATGGCCAGATGAAATCAAAACCATTGAGTATAGTCAAAGTGAGACAATCTAAGAGGGCAACTGAGTTTTATCTGATAGCATACTGATTAACCTGACTTAATAAAGTTCAATGGCCTTATAGCATACTGATTAACCTGACTTAATAAAGTTCAATGGCCTTTGGTGGCCACCTACATTGTCAAGTGCAGAGTGAGGCCTTGGAGTTGCAAAGAGGACTCAGTGACAGATGGTGACTACACGTACCCTGGTGAGCAATGAGTAATGTACAGAATTGTTGAATCACTGTATTGTACACCTGAAACTAATATAACACTGTATGTTAACTATACTGGAATTTAAATAAAAATGAAAACATTAAAAAAATAAAAAAAATAAAACATTCCCAAAAGAATCTCTCTCAAAGAAGTGAAGGCATGTGCACTTACAGGTTGCTTTAGAGAAAATGGTTATTCTGTTTCCTTTTGCACTGCCTTGTAAAAAGTTCACAGGTCTCTGAAATATGAAATGTACTGAACAGATGGATGAAAAGACAAATGACTGAATTAGTAAATGACAGTGAACCTTCCATAGGAGTGAGAGCGATGCAGGATCTTCAGTTAATTTATCTTTTCTTGATTTCCTCAAGGTCAAGGTAGTCTTTTTGCTATAAAGAACAACAATGATATGGTAATGCCTTTCATTTGTATAGCACTTTTTATTTGTCAAAGGATTTTTTTCCTGTTCTCACAATATCACTTTTAGGAAAATAGAACAGGTAGGCTATTTTTATATCCTTCAGAGAATTGTGCATGTAAGCCTGAACAAAATTTAAGGAAAAAGAAGAAAATGAGTAGCAAGTTGAGTATTGGGAATTCAGTGATCATTTAGGACATTTATGCTACAGTTAAAAATTGTGATTTTAATATTTTATTACTGCCACTAAAGTATACCCAAATCTCTAAAATTTTATTATCCACTTGCAAGCATTAATCAGAAGACAGAAATAAATGGTTAATTAAGTACAGAGGTCAGTGACATGAAGACTTTCAATCTTTTTTTTAAATCTCCCACAAATCAGTATCGTTTTCTTAAAATTGCAAATGCAAGGTAGATATTATAATTGTTTACTTAATTAGTATTTTCTAAGCATCATATATGTATCTTTTCTATATAGGAAACTCAAAACATATAGTGATACTTCACATTTTGAATTCAGTGTATATAATGACATCCTTGAATTCAGAAAATAACTCAAGGTAAAGTTCTGAACTGCAGAATTTGATATTTTGAAAAACAAAATGAGAATTTCATGGAGTGATTTCTTATAATATTCCATAATTCTATGTTACATATAACCAATGACTTGAACAAGTTCTAAACTTAATTAATGTAATTCAATTTTTTTTTTTAATTTTTGGAGTAAAAGAACACAATGTGGTTATTTTGAGAATTAGCTGGTTTCTTCTGGGTAAATTAAAGTCCAGAGATCACATTTTTGCATATACTTTATTCTTGATGTGTCTGAAGAAAGAAACAGTTAATGTGATTTGCAAAACCTAGAAGAAAAGGAAATGATAAGATATCAAAATAATAAATAAGAGTAATTCGCAGTTAAAACTTACAATACAATTCCCTACATGCATGTTTTATAGGGAAAGGATCAAAGAGTGGCCAAGTTTTGAAGTAAGGTACACATGGTTGCCAATAAGAAGTCTGCAAAGTGAGTCTTCTAGAGTAACCCAGGTGTCACCAAGTTCATTTATGAAGGGACTAACGAATAGACTTCAATTTTAATTACATGAGCTATCATTGGGCTAGATGTCATGATGAACCCTGTGATCTGGTTTTTGTTCATCATCTGTGTCATCAGTCCTACAAAACTGCTTCATTTTGGTGTAGAATCATTACAGATGGTGTGCAAAGAGTAGATGATAAAATGGACCACAGGTACTATCTCCCATTCAGTCTTGTCTTAAATACCCAAGCATGAACACAATGGGGAATAAACATTTTGAAAGAACATCATTAATGCATATAAAAATGTTTTAATCACCATTCTGAGACTATAGTTGTTACCAGTTGAAGAAAATTTATGGAACCTCGGGTCAATGCCTTTTTGGATCAGCATAACATTAAATGCGGTATCCTATTCTGAACAAACCATGCATTATATATTCATTGCAGTGTTTTAGTCTACACTGTGATAATACATTCATTCTCACAGTTTTGTTAAATCCATAGCCTTCACCTGCTTTCATCAGTCTGCACTGAGACTGGAGAATGAAGTTCTGCTTCTGAGTCTCAAATCTGTAGTTGGCACCGTACAGGTCAGCAGGTCATGGAATGTGTCTGTTTTGCTTCCCATTGAATCTCTGACCATTAATACAGTACCTGACACACAGTAGATGTTCTCCCTCCTCCAAATTTATTGACTGACTGAATGAATGAATGAATGAGTATATGAGTAACTAGTACATTTACTAATGTCAAACATTGGTCTAGATTTCCAGTCTGCCAACTTGAAGACTGCCCAATGTGGGCTCTCACTGTTGAGATATGAAGTATTATATATATATGTGTATATATATATATATACACATATATATAAATATATATATAACATATATATAAAACATGTATATAAAACATATGTGAAGTATATATATACTTATATATATTTATTATAAATATATATTTAATATATAAATTTATTATATATTTATATATATTTATTATACAACACATAATAAATATATAGAATATGTTTATTATATATTATTACATATTTTATACATATATAAATACTTCATCTCTCTCTCTCTCTCTCTCTCTCTCTCTTTCTCTCTCTCTCTCTCTCTATATATATATATATATCACAAAGCAATGAAGTCACTACCTTCCAGGATGACCATTTATTAACAGGTCATCCAACTTGGCTGATTTAAGGATATCACCCCTCTAGTTGGGACCCATACCTCTCTCGGATGTGAATAGTCTCAAGGTCCAGACTCCTTTTGTATAATTTGTCTGATTAGGACTCCAGCTGGTTTTTCTGCAGTTTGTTATGTATGGTTTATACTCAACTATTTTTTATCTTTAAACATATTAACAAAAGCTTACCTCTGAAGCCAAAAGTCCGAAGTTAATTCCAGTTAATGTTAAAGCATTAGCGTTATACCACGTGTTGATTTTATTTTCACAACCCTAATGAAAGAAAAGTTATTTAGACTGACTTGGGAGAGGAAAATGGTCTTATATAGAATTCTATCACAAAGAAGAAGAAACATAATACAGTAATTCACAAACTCTAAAAAGTCATTGTCTAAGTGGAGACTAGCCTTTTTAGTCCAGAGAACTTCCTCTCATAGCAGAACATCTCTGTTACTACTTTTTAAGTTGCTAAGATGTTGTGATGTAATTGAAATCAGAACTTTATTAAATTTAGAAAGGGCTCTAATTTTCTGCACACTACTGTAATTCAGCAAGGTATGTACTATGACCGAAAATGATTATTTCCCAAATAGGAGAAGCTTAAAAAAAAAAACATAATGCTCTATTTATCTGTGAATGAATTATGTAAATAAAAATGTGTCTTACAATTAGAATAACATCAGTGTGTAAACTATATAAAATATTAGAAGTTCTTGGGATGGAAATCTTGTTGATCAGTATCCCATACCTGTAAGTAACAGACGAAACCCTGTTCTTGCTTCTACTACATTTATCTGAACACTTGTTCACTGCTGGCGTCCCCTCACTTCAGTTTTTGCCAATGCTCATACCTTCTTACTTCTGGTATTGTAGCTCCCTTACCAATCCTATATGCCAGAGATTGGCCAAAAGTGCCTCCCTTTTCTGCAGTGATTCAGTAAGGAGGGTTGGGGAGAAAGGTTGATGGTATCTCAAGATCTAGGAGCACTTAAATAACATATTCTCAGGAAGTTAAAATAATAATTATTCATTAATTATGAGTTCAGTTTCATAAAGTAGCTTAAGAACTTAATCACTGTAAATAATAGTGTTTGTATATACAACTTTTGTTCAGCATTCTAAATTGACTTGCAAAAACAAAACAAAAAAAGACACTGTAAACACCTGGAAAGCCTTATCTTTACCTCTAGGTAAGTTGCATTCAGTGGCTCATCACAAAACCACTTTCTTAATGTAGAATTTGTGCAAGAACATGGCACCTGTTCTGAATTTTCTTTATTTTTATTCTTTATCCAGTCTGTGTAATTGTACTGGCCACAACACTGCAACTAGAAAAGAAATCTATAAATTTTACTATAAAATATTCAAAAGGCAGTTAATTGTGATTCCCATGTATGTTAAAATATTTTTTCTGAAAAAGTTATTAATTCATTCTGCATTGAAATGCAGTGAATTACAAATATAAGTATAGTTTTGTTTGTTTAATCCATTACTTTGTTACTGCTTTTGTTGATGTTAACCAGAACTAAAGATCTTTACAATATAAGTGGGCTATGTTTGGATGAAATTGTTAGATCTGAATTTATCATAAAGGAACCCAGGATGGAAGGTATGCCTGATTTACTGAAGCTACAAACTATGTTTGGGACTGAATACAGAAAAGGAAATCACTATAGGCATATCTTTCTCTCCACTATAGCAGTAGCTATATTTTTTCTCCAGAATATGCTGCCATTTTTATTTAATTATACTTAAAGAGATTCAGTGTTATTTTTACTCTCTTAGGACTAATATGTTAACTTGCAATTTTGTATTGTGTGAAAATTTTCCACAGAGAGTCAAAAAAGATGAAAAGGCAAACAGCCATAGAAATGATAAAACATTGGAAAGATCTCATTTCCAATCCCATCAAGTTGAATAGGGAAGATGTGAAAGAATCAACATATATATTTGTCACCTAGAATATAAGACAGAGTTGAAGTGAATACTTCATTGTTTTCTAAACTTGTTGTTGAATGTTATAACATCAGTACTGCCTATGTCACAATATGTACCAACAATCATGGAAATGTTGAATGACTGAAATAATGCTTTAGAGTGTGAGTACTGAAAATGAGTTCAGTCAAATCTACATGTCTTGTCTCAGTTATACTCAGGACTAGGAACTGTAAGCTTGATTCTCATTAATAATAGCAATGTCACACATAGAACTTTTTTCTTATCAGTTTATGACCATAGGAAGGTTTGGTTCTCTGCCATCAGTCCTAATGCAATCTAGAGAGGCAATACATGTACACATCATATGCGTCAGGGGAAAAACAGTACGACTAAAAAAGCATTTATAGTTATATTTCAATTCTCCTAAAATGCCTTTCTGTTATTACATATACTAAAAATAATAGCTATTTCTTTTTTTAATTTTTTTTTTATGTTTATTCATTTTTGAAAGACAGAGAGAGACACAGTACAAGCAGGGAAGGGGTGGAGAGAGAGGTGGTGGGGGGGGGGTGTGGTGCACAGAATCTGAGGCAGGCTCCAGGCTCTAAGCTGTCAGCACAGAGCCCAATGCGGGGCTCGAACTCACGAACCGTGAGATAATGACCTGAGCCACCCAGGCGCTCCAATGATAGTTATTTCTATGTGAGGCACCTACTATAGTAGTTAGAGTACAAAATCTAGTGCTACGTTGTCTGGAATTGAATCATGTTTCTGCAACCCAATTAGCTCTATGACCCTGGGTAAGTTACTCAATTTCATAGTCCTTCATCTATAAAACGAGGATAATAGGTCTTACTTCATTGGGTTCAGAGGAGTAAATAAGTTGATACATATAAAGCACTTACAAAAAGTAAATACAAAAATTTATTTTCTTTATCAAGCATTTACTAAGTTCCAGCTGGTGATCTATTCCTGTAAACCATCTGGGCAACCATACCCATTCCTGTACGCTGCCTAGAAATATATGATGTGCAAAATAAGAATCATAATACATTAGCTAGCAAGTATTAATTGCTCACTATTTTCCAGATCCAAGGCTTTCTGTACATTCTATATATTATTTCATTGATTCCTGCCAACCAGAGGTAAGGGTTATTCTGTCCATTTTAAGAATATGGAATCTGAAATTAATAAGGATACTTGTCCAGGGTCAAAAAGTTAATATGTAGCAAACCTGACATTCAGGCTTAAATGGTAACTACCATGTTTCTCTGCTGCTGGCAAGAACTGTGCTCAGACTTCTGTCCCACAGGTGCAGCAGGGAAGATTACCCCACCAACACTTTTATAGGTGAGACCAGGTTAAAATGCACATCAGTTAAGCAAGAATCGAAGATCTAATTTACAAAAGGAGGATAAAACTCAAGATTTGTAACTGGGAACAATGCTATTCCTCTCATTCCTCTGTTCCATCTCCCACCCTTCCCCGTCTCCCTTACCCTATAGTGATCATGTTTGACATCTAATTTTTAGTTTTATGCTAATTTTCTCTTACTGTTTTCTGTAAAGCATTCAGAAAAGTCCACTTGGGTATATCTTCAGGCATATCTTTAGATCCATACTCAGCAATGATTAAGTCAACTTTATCATGCCATACTTGGTGAATCTGTTGAAAATTGCATCAAAGTCAAAATCTGAAATCCTATGGGATTTGTCTTTCTCTGATTTCGCTTAGCATAGTACTCTCTAGTTCCATCCATGTCATTGCAAATAGCAATATTTCATTCTTTTCGATGTCTGAGAAATATTCTATTGTATATATAATCACTAATTTGTACACCTGAAACTAATATTACACTGCATTTTAACTAACTGGACTTTAAATGAAAACTTGGAAAGGAAAAAAAGTCCAAATCTGAAGGAAACTTTCCTTATGGTTCCTAACAAAAGAGTATTCTAGTCATTTTGCTGTTCTCTGATTATTCCTGTGTTTTCTGTTTCTTTAACTACTTTTAGCAATCTCAGTGAGTGCTGAGGCATTTGGTCTTTTGCATTGTGACCTACAAGAGGAATATATGAGACTTATTTTATGGCTGAAGAGAAAGTTATGTGCTATTCTCCTGAATGTCTAAGGATTCTGCTTTTCTTCTTGTACTCTCAGGAAAAATTGTGAAAAACTCTGAAATGGGCCAAAAAAGATTACTGAGTATCTTTTTAATGGAAATTAGGCTTTCTTTAGCATAACTTCAGGGTCTTCTTATTTCATGAGGGTCTGTATCTTTCTCAGTTTTTAACTTATTTAACAACTTTGTAAGTTGTAGGAAACTACTGACAACTGATGCTTTATCAGAGAAATGCAGATGAATTTTTCCTGGTGGGGGGCAAATGATATCTCCTCTACCAACTATGTTTTGTATATGTTAAGAGATAGCCTTTATAAGTGTCTTCTCTTTGGACTCTCCTTTGAGCTGGTTTTTATTTCTTACTGATTCCCACATTAATCAAGATGTTAAATAAAATCACTGATCTGTGCTTGCTGTATATTTATACAAGAATTATGATTTTTAATTTAAAAAATTAAATTATGTTTTCACAATGCTGTAACAAAAACAATCAGATTTGAAAGAATGGGGTGAACATGCTATTTCAAAACCTAGATATTGCAGAGGTAAATTTTAATAGTAATCTACTTAAATATTTAAAAGTTCAGGTGACTTTCATAACTAAGGTAAAACGTAGAAAGAACAGATACTATTCCATTTTATGAACAAGGAGATAGATCGAGAATTTAGTTATTTGCTCTGTTTACATGAATAAGGATGTGGAGATGAGGCTTTTAAATATGGTTCATTTGAATTCAGGTTTAGTGATTTCTCATTGTATTATGCTATCTTTGAATAATGAAAACGAATTAACTGGTGGGAATACTACAACCATTAAACCATGTGTACAAGTTAACTCTAATGTAGTCACTAATATATCTATGCTTTAATGCATTTAAGATTAGAATAATGTAGTGTTATTTAGATCTGTAAGTTATTTAATTTATTCTCTAAGTTAATTTTTATTTATTTTCATTTTTTAAATGTGCTTTTTTAAAAAAAAGTTTATTTATTTTAAGAGAGAGCATACGTGCACAGGAATCAGGAAGGGGTAGAGAGAGAGGGAGAGAGAATCCCAAGCAGGCCCCATGCTGCCAGCATGGAGCCCTACCCGGGCCTTGAACCCACAGTGAGATCAAGACCTGAGCCAAAACCAAGAGTTGGATGCTTAACCAACTGAGCCACACAGGCACCCTAATTTTTATTTAGACTAGAAAATATTTTTCCATTTTATAGTGTTGTAGGAAGGGGCAGGCTTATGTCCTTATTTACCCTCTGAAGCATTATTTGGGAGATCCAGAGAGCAGATAAATCACATCTTAGTACACAAGAGTATCATATCTAATCTCCATGACTTCTATATAAAGAAATCCCCTCACACATATTTATTTTGACAAGGATCCTTTGTAGCCCTAGTGCACCTCGAACACTGTTGGGTGCTGTAAGTGGCATAAAAGACTTAGAAGCTCCTAGGAGCTTAATCTAGTGTGAATGTAGAAGGAAAATTGATGTAAACAGAGCTGTTACCTCTAGATTCAGTTAATAAGTGTTTGAGTCCAGAATCTGTCATTTGGCCATGATGCATTTTAGCAAACATTTCTCCTCTCAAAGCCTCAGTTTCCTGTTCTAGAAAGTAGGACTAACAATGCCTCTCTAGGGGTTGTTGTGAGAATCAAAAATCTAATGCCTATAAAGTGCTTATCACAGTCTCTGGCACATGGTAATTATTCTTAGGTGATCATTTTTATTCTTAAATTAAGTAGAGATGAATATGTGAATAATACTTAAGAGAGCATGGACAACACTGATAAACTAAATTTAGGTGTTAAGGATCCTGAGGTGTTATATTCAAGTTCTATCACCAGATCCAAAAGTTACAGGCCGATTGGTTGGGATGTAGTGCTTTGCCACCATTACAGCTTTACAGAACCCACATACTGTGCACACACACACACACACACACACACACACACACACACATGAGAAGACATTTTAGCTCTAAATGTCAGGCCATTAACAATAAGTCTTGGGTGGCTAGATATCCAGGATAGATGCCAAGCACAGGAGAGCAAATGAAGTTGGAGGGTGATGGTGTTCTACAGGAATGAGGTTTGGTCATTGCTTAGGACTCTACATATAGAGAGATTTTTGAAGGCTAGGAAGTGTAGGAATTGATCAGGGGTTCCTTTGAAATTAATTAAGGTAAGAAAGGGAGTTCTTTTTTAAAATATTAAAAAAAAATTAAAGTGTTTTTAAATTCATTTTTGAGAGAGACAGAGTGTGAATGGGGGGGGGGGAGGGGGGGAGAGAGAGAGAGAGAGAGAGAGAGAGAGAGAGAGAGAGAATCCAAAGCAGGCTCCAGGCTCAGAGCTGTCAACACAGAGCCTGATGTGGGGTTGGACCCACAAGTTAGGAGATCATGACCTGAGCCGAAGTCGGACACTTAACCGATTGAGCCACCCAGGTGCCCAGAAAGGGAGCTTTAAGTAGCTACTCAGTGACAGAAACTTTTGAAGTTGTCAGTTAGTGGTAACTCTCTAAGGGAGGTGGGTATTAACCATGCTGTACAGATTAAGACATAGGCTTAGGACTGCTAAGTAGCTTGTGGACCTCTAGTTATCTGCAGATCTGTATGACTTCAAGCCCATGCTCTTTCCTACAGGAAAATCTCCCATAATACAGAGACAGAGCATGACTGCACTGAAACAATGACATTTCTTTTTCTTTTTTTGAATTTGTAAGTTTATTTATTTATTTTAAGAGAGACAGAAAGTGGGGGAGGGGGCAGAGAGAGAGAAGGAAAGAGAGAAAATCCCAAGCAGGCTCCGCACTGTCGGTACAGAGCCCCATGTAGGGCTCGAACTCATGAACCATGAGATCATGACCTGAGCCAAAGCTGGATGCCTAGCCAACTGAGCCACCCAGGCACCCTGAAACAATTAAATTTCTTTAAAAATAGAGGGTAACCATTGACCTTAGTAGGTAATTTTTGTTACCCAAAGTTTTTTTTCAGGCAGTTTACTATATGTTTTTTTTTTTAATTTAATTTGATAAATATAAATCTTGTTGTGATTGATTATATCACTCATGACCATACCTGTACCAAATATTTGAATTATGCATTTCATTTCATTTAAATACCTAAATTTCAAATTCATACAAGTCTAAAGGTATTTCTTGACAAAAATAGAATATAGTAAGTCTATATAGAAAAATAGAATTGGGTTAATCATGGGAGCCAGGGTTGGCTGGGAGACAAATTTTGGATTCCCTACACCCACTATCACCCCCTCTTCCCCCATGTTCTTTGTTATTTACAACACTGTCAATATTTTGCTGAGTTAAAGACAAATTTCCTTATAGTCCACCTTTTTGATATGACCTTATATAGAATTCTTTAATATGTCCATTGAATCTTTTTCCCCACAAAGACATTTACCTTTCGCTCTTAATATAGGCTCATAGGTCTTAATAATTTAAGATGTCTAATTTTCTTTAGGTTTCAAATAAAAGGATGATCTTTCCATACCTCTTTTTTCTTTGTGAAGATGAATCCTGAAAGTACAACTTGAACACCAAAGGCCCACATTAACAGTGCTGCATACTAAAACAGAAGAGAAATAGAGATGGTAACTGTGGTTCTACTATGTACTTTAGATGTTACAATGATGGGGAAATGTACATTATATGAAATATCCTGTCTTAAAATACACACAGGTATTGCTGGTTTCCAGCCCTCATATACATGAGTGATTTTATTCAAACAAAAAGGCAAAGAAAAAAATCATTGAACATTTGGATAAGAGTAAGACAGAAGTGATAGTATTCAGTGGGCACCCTAACAGACCACTTGGTCTAATGAAATTGTTGATGATCTTCCTTTATTTGGATCTAAAACTGTCCTAGAGGGGAACTCACTTGGCTGGATCTCCACTTAATGCACCATGACACTAACACTAGAAAACTCACTGAATTGTGACCTATTAGGCGAATCCAAAATGAACAAAGTAACAACAATAACAGAAAATAACAAAAGTACCTGCTATAATAAGATTAAATTTGTATGTACATTTAAATTATTCCTTTGAAAACTGAAAATACTTCTCTTCAAGGTCAAATGAAATTATTTGCACATTTATTTAACTATATTTTTTAAACTTAAGGCCACTGCAATCTTCTTCATCATAGCATCACATAGTAGTATATATTATCTAGAATTTATAATCTAAAAAAATTAGCAGTCTGAATATTTTACTAACTAAAATATAAGAATGACTCACTGTTAGTATTCTTAATTTCACATATTTTAAACATTAATACTTTAAAATAGTTAAAATTTGTTTGTTTGATATAAGTTACCAATCTTATTTTTAGAGACAAATGTTTCAGAGACAAAAATAGGGTCTTTAGATCTGTTTAGAAGTTTAGATTTCTAATACTTCTACATACATCGTCTCACTTAATCTTCACTAAAAGGAGATTTGTAGAGACAGGAAAATTGTAAAACAATACTTCATTATAAAATATTGTAAGACAATATTTTAATGTAAAACAATAAAAAAATTACTGGGCTTCTTTTTAATGGAAAGCTGGTTGTGGTCCAGTGGACCTTCCCAGTTTTCTGATCCTATGGACATATGCAATGTTACCTTTGACTAAACTATTATTCAACTCTGTATGGGGTAAACTTACAGATTTATGGTAGTAATACAAAAGTTCCTCTTCTTCAATATTACTTTGGCTATTCGGGATCTTTTGTGGTTCCATACAAATTTTAGGATTGCTTGTTCTAGCTTCGAGAAGAATGCTGGTGTAATTTTGATTGGGATTGCATTGAATGTTAGATTGCTTTGGGTAGTACTGACATTTTAACAATATTTATTCTTACAATCCATGAGCATGGAATATTTTTCCATTTCTTCATATCTTCTTCAATTTCCTTCATAAGCTTTCTAGTGTTTTCAGCATACGGATTTTTACATCTTTGGTTAGGTTTATTCCTAGGTATTTTATGATTCTTGGTGCAATTGTGAATGGAATCAGTTTCTTTATTTGTCTTTCTATTGCTTTATTATTAGTGTATAAGAATGCAACTGCTTTCTGTACATTAATTTTGTATCCTGTGACTTTGCTGAATTCATGTATCAGTTCCATCAGACTTTGGGTGGAGTCTGTCGGGTTTTCCATGTATAATATCATGTCATCTGCAAAAAGTGAAAGCTTAACTTCATCTTTGCCAATTTTGATGCCTTTGATTTCCTTTTCTTGTCTGATTGCTGATGCTAGAACTTCCAATACTATGTTAAACAACAGCAATGAGAGTGGACACCCCTATCGTATTCCTGATCTCAGGGGGAAAGCTCTCAGTTTTCCCCCATTGAAAATGATATTAGCTGTGGGCTTTTCATAAATGGCTTTTATGATGTTTAAGTATGTTCCTTCTATCCCAACTTTCTTGAGGGTTTTTATTAAGAAAGGATGCTGAATTTTGTCAAATGCTTTTTCTGCATCGATTGACAGGATCACATGGTTCTTACCTTTTCTTTTATTAATGTTATGTATCACATTGATTGATTTGCAAATATTGAACCAGCCCTGCAGCCCAGGAGTGAATCCCACTTGATCATGTTGAGTAATTCTTTTTATATGTTGTTGAATTTGATTTGCTAGTATCTTGCTGAGAATTTTTGCATCCATATTCATCAGGGATATTGGCCTGTAGTTCTCTTTTTTTGCTGGGTGTCTGTCTGGCTTGGGAATCAAAGTAATGCTGGCTTCATAGAATGCATCTGGAAGTTTTCCTCCCCTTTCTATTTTTTGGAACAGCTTGAGAAGGATAGGTATTATCTCTGCTTTAAATGTCTGGTAGAATTCCCCTGGGAAGCCATCTGGTCCTGGACTCTTATTTGTTGGGAGATTTTTGATAACTGATTCAATTTCTTCACTGGTTTTGGGTCTGTTCAAATTTTCTATTTCTTCCTGTTTGAGTTTTGGAAGTGTGTGGGTGCTTAGGAATTTGTCCATTTCTTCCAGGTTGTCCAGTTTGTTGGCATATGATTTTTCATAGTATTCCCTGATAATTGCTTGTATTTCTGAGGGATTGGTTGCAATAATTCCATTTTTATTCATGATTTTATCTATTTGGGTCATCTCCCTTTTCTTTTTGAGAAGCCTAGCTAGAGGTTTATCAATTTATCAATTTTGTTTATTTTTTCAAAAAAACCAACTCTTGGTTTCATTGATCTACTCTACAGTTTTTTTTTTTAGAATCTATATTGTTTATTTCTGCTCTGATCTTTAAACAAGCAATCCTAAAATTTGTATGGAACCGCAAAAGACCCCAAATAGCCAAAGTAATATTGAAGAAGAAGACCAAAGCAGGAGGCATCACAATCCCAGACTTTAGCCTCTACTACAAAGCTGTCATCATCAAGACAGCATGGTATTGGCAAAAAAACAGACACATAGACCAATGGAATAGAATAGAGACCCTAGAACTGGGTGCACAAAGGTATGGCCAACTAATCTTTGACAAAGCAGGAAAGAATATCCAATGGAAAAAAGACAGTCTCTTTAACAAATGGTGCTGGGAGAACTGGACAGCAACATGCAGAAGGTTGAAACTAGACCACTTTCTTACACCATTCACAAAAAACAAACTCAAAATGGATGAAGGACCTGAGCATGAGACAGGAAACCATCAAAACCCTAGAGGAGAAAGCAGGAAAAAACCTCTCTGACCTCAGCCGCAGCAATTTCTTACTTGACACATCTCCAAAGGCAAGGGAATTAAAAGCAAAAATGAACTATTGGGACCTCATCTAGATAAAAACTTCTGTGCTGTAAAGGAAACAATCGACAACACTAAAAGGCAACCAATGGAATGGGAAAAGATATTTGCAAATGACATATTGGACAAAGGGCTAGTATCCAAAATCTATAAAGAACTTACCAAACTCCACACCTGAAAAACAAATAATCCAGTGAAGAAATGGGCAGAAGACATGAATAGACACTTCTCTAAAGAAGACATCCAGATGGCCAACAGGCACATGAAAAAATGCTCAATGTCACTCCTCATCAGGGAAAAACAAATCAAAACCACACTGAGATACCACCTCATGCCAGTCAGAGTGGCTAAAATGAACAAATCAGGAGACTGTAGACGCTGGAGAGGATGTGGAGAAACGGGAACCCTCTTGCACTGTTGGTGGGAATGCACACTGGTGCAGCTGCTCTGGAAAACAGTGTGGAGATTCCTCAAAAAATTAAAAAAAGAACTACCCTATGACCCAGCAATAGCACTGCTAGGAATTACCCAAGGGATACAGGAGTGCTGATGCATAGGGGCACTTGTACCCCAATGTTTATAGCAGCACTTTCAACAATAGCCAAATTATGGAAAGAGCCTAACTGTCCATCAACTGATGAATGGATAAAGAAGTTGTGGTTTATATACACAATGGAATACTACTTGGCAATGAGAAAGAATGAAATATGGCCTTTTGTAGCAACATGGATGGAACTGGAGAGTGTTATGCTAAGTAAAATAAGTCATACAGAGAAAGACAGATACCATATGTTTTCACTCTTATGTGGATCCTGAGAAACTTAACAGAAACCCATGGGGGAGGGGAAGGGGAAAAAAAAAAGTTAGAGAGGGAGGGAGGCAAACCATGAGAGACTCTTAAAAACTGAGAATAAACTGAGGGTTGATGGGGGGTGGGAGGCAGGGGAAGGTGGGTGATGGGCATTGAGGAGGGCACCTGTTAGGATGAGCACTGGGTGTTGTATAGAAACCAATTTGACAATAAATTTCATATTAAAAAAAAGTTCCTTGTCCATAGCAATGCAATTCCTATTAATGGAAATGCAAACAAATACAGTCTATAGAGAATATAAATCTGCAAAATCTTATTCTCATTCAACTAGTTGTTACTTCTTACTGGTTCCCTTAATGATTAATTATTTAAATAAAGTTTCTGACACATGTTTGTGCACATATATATGAGTCATGATTTTTACCTTTGAAAATTCCCTTCTAGTAGTAGTTAGATATTTATAGTAATAAGAAAAATTCAGTGTTTTTTATTTGTTTTAGCACTTAGAGAGTACAGTGAGAGACTGCCCAAGAACTTCTAAAAGAGGGAAGTAAAACTGCCCCTAAGCCTTAAATTGTGAAACAATATTTATTCAATTGGAGTAAGGGTACGCAAAATCGCCATTAAGCCAAAGAAAGTGCTTAGGCGTATAAAATTTGCCCATAAGTTGACTGCATGAATTAACGTGGTAACGTATCCATCAGAAAAGTATTGGTAAATTCAGAGAATAGTAAACGTGACATGATTGCAAAAAGTAGTAGTGCCCTTCATTGGAGCCTCCAGACAAGAGTGTGGTGTCTTGGCTTCAGGACCTACTTTGTGCATTCCTTATGATGGGGTCTATCAGGCTTTCTCAGTTATAGGCCATTAATATCACAATTCCATAAGGCTTAAACTTATAAGATGTTTGTTTCCCTCCCTCTAGATTCCCCCCTTCTTTTGTTTTGTCAAACAAATACAATATTCAACTGCAGCCATTGTGTCTCTTAGGAAGAATGCAGAAGTACTTAGCTTTTATGTAGCACTGAAAGGCTGGGTGGTCACTCTGGACACTGGTTATCAATCTACACTGGCTGCCAGGAAAACTCTCACTTTCCCAGCTCACGTGATCCTTCGGGGTCTACTCATTCTGCTGTTTGAATGGCCTAAGGTGGCAAAGGCAGATCTGCTCTTGTTTGGCAAGAGAGCTCCTGTGAATTAAAACTGATTTGATTTAAAGAAAATGGCAAAAGCCGTATTTCATCTGAGCCTGTGAATCGTGATCTTTAGCTGCCACATGTGTGGTAGATGGCTCATGTTCAGGTCTATATTCCTGATTATAATTTATCTTTCCACATATATGGCTAGGGAGAGATAGTGTGCCAGCCAGATGCCAGGGTCTGGCCCTCTCAGCAGTTATATTTCCCTTTGTTAAATAATAAATTGCAATCTCAGTTATAAGTTAGCTTTCCACATGGCAGTCCCACAGGGAGATGTGCTAACTGAAGGACATGGTTTCTTTCATCTTGCTAAGCTACATTGCTCATTGACTTTAATAGTTTATTTGGATTTTAGTCTTCAGATTGTTATGTTTGGTTAATTGTAGTTCACCCTAGGAGATGGATTCCTATTGACTAGGAAGATGGAAAATTAACATCTAAGTGTGCAAGGGCAGAGGTCCAGATCCATGGAAAACTCACCAAGAACATTCTATCTAGAAAAGTTTCTTGAGAGGAGATGCTTACTTTACCTTATTCCCTGGGAAACACTATACTGACGTGTTATGGTGATGTAAATGATTATTGCTCATTTCGTGACTTGGACACTCTAAATCGAAGATACAGATTAATTCAGGCTGTTAAAATGAAATACATACCAGGATTAGGAGCCATCTGATTTCATTGTGAATTCCCAAATAACCCAAGAGACAAAGAAGAACAATAGCAGATCCAGTTCCAGTCAAAATTTGAAAAATATATACTATCAGATGATTATTTTTATCTGTGGAAACCACAAAATAAATGATTATCAAGTGGTATTAAAATCCTACTTAATAATATATGCAGTAGCCCAAGATTTCTGTAAGCAGTTGTCGCCAATCAGTAGGATTCTCTTTCTCTCCCTCTCTCTCTCTCTCTCTCTCTTTTTTTTTTTTTACTTCATTCTGGAACCTCCTATTTAGTCTTGGCGACTTTTCTTCCATTAATGACATGATGAAAAAATTCTTCAATCTCAAAAGATCTCTTTCCTTTTATCTTATTGATCTTCACTGTCTTCTATGAAAGAATTTTTTTTTCCCCTAAGGTGAAACTCTTTTATGTTTAATGTATCTGCAAACACTTATGAACTTATTTGAGTATCTAATATGTGTGGGTCAATTTTCTTTGGTAATATGACTGCATTGAAATTGTATTTTATTCTCTCTCCACCTAGACTGAGCTCTCTGTGCTAGAGACTATATATATTTATACAGTCAACAGACTAACTGTTAAATGCTTAGTGTTATGACACAGACTGTGGAACACTGAGTGCTTACCAAATATTTGTTAAAAAAAAAAAGGAAGAAGAAATCAATTAAATATGCCCTCGGTTTCATGGGAGAACAGTGGAGGCAGGGGTGTGCTGGAGCCAGTTTGTTCTGGCTCATAAACGCCAACTGTTACATTTTCACAAAATTTGGAAAATTTGGAAGCCAACTTAGCTCACGGTGACACTGTGAAATCAGCCATCGTGACATTACGTATTTAAACCACAGAAGTCAGTAAATACCATAAATCAAGACTTTCTCTCCCAGAACTGGTTGTTAAATATTTACCAGCACACCCCTGGGTACGTGAGCATCTGATCCAGGAGGGGGAGGAGGTTGGAGAGTAGAGGTAGGCAAGATTGCTGGAGAAGGCAACACTGAGCATGGGCTTTAAGTGATAACTGAATATATCTAGATTGGAATGATAGAACAGCACAGTATGTGTAGGAAATTCAGCTTTGCTGGCACTTAGGGTTTGAAGCAGGTGAAATTGGGCAGGTTTTCAGGGGCCAAATTATGCACACTTTGTATGCTCTAACCCAGCCTTTCTCACTGAAATTAAACTCCATGAGGACAAAGTATTTACCTTTCTTGTACACTACAGTATCCTCAGCTTACAGGATCATACCTAACATGTAGAAGACACTCTGTAAATACTTGTCATATGAATGAATAAGTGCAGTGGGGAGCCAGAGAAAAGCTTTTAATGTTGTATGGATGGATTTTCATCTTAAATTATTTCACGGGCCTCTGGAAGATGGTTGAGGAAGGAGATCAGAACACAAGGCTATTGGATGCTATTACTATGGCAGAGGGAAGATGGGAACCTCACGTAGCATGGTGTTATTACAAATGGAGAGGTGAAGGCAGAATAGTGTTTAAAATAGGGTAAGTTAATTTAAAGTTGCAGATAAAAGGGAGGGGAGGACCCAACCAGTTTCTTGCCACAAACTGGTTATTTTCAGTTCCATGTCTTGAAACCTTAACTGAGATTTCACTAAATACATACTTTCAAATATATAATTTTTAAGAGAACTATCTCTCAATTCCATAATGGAGGGAAAGAAAAATGGAAATGACTTTTGCTCCACTGTAACTACTATGTTACCAAATTAGATGCTGTATGGGAAGTGCTTAGCCCAGTGTCTGGCACAGAGTCAACATAAATAAGTGGAAGCTATTATTGCCTCTCTTCTGGGGAAGGAAAGAAAAAGACAGAAAGGTTGTCGTAAGATCTCCACACACCCCTGTACTCTGAGCAAACCACTAATGCACTCAGACATCATGAATACTTTCCCATAAGCAAAGTATGCAAATGGAAGAGAATAAAGTTACTAGGCACTTAGGTGTAGCTGAAGTTTAAATTGTTCAATACTTTGTAGCACTTTGTTACCTATTAAACTTTTTTACTCAGCTTTCATTTTCCTACAAACATATTTTATCTTACTTGAAATCCACTAAGAAAGACGTTGGCCTGCTTTTTGTCATATTTTTAAGGATTAACAGTACTGTTTAATAAAACTCACTGAGGTAACGGATATCATCTAAATCTGCACTTGTCTCATAAGGTAGCCATACCCAACAGCCGCATCTGGCTATTGAGCACTTGAAACTGTGGCTTCTTTCCCTCCCACCAAAGAGATGTATATAAAAATAATCTTTAGCCTATTAAACTTCAGTCCACAGTGACCACAGCATACCACAAAATGGCAAAATAAAGATTTTTTTTATCAAGTTACCTGCATTTAATTATTTTATTCATTTTGGATAATATTATATTTTATTTGTAACCATGTGATGGTGAGAGCAGATGGTAATTGAGTTTTAAAAGAAATTATTTAACCTGGGCACTATCAAATATGTGGATCTCCATTATCTTTTCATCCAGAGTTTATTAGAACAATCCAGTCTTCCATTTCTCTCATAGCTCTTGTCCAGCCAAAGTTCCTAGTTCTCTCTCACCAGATTCATTCTCCTTTATGGTCTTGGTTTTAAGTCCTATTAGTTAGAGATGTTTCTAAAACCAATTGGCAAAGAGCTTCATAGGGAAAAAATTGAACAATACTCAATGAAGTTTAGAGAAATACTGCCACCTGCTGAATAAATCATGTACGCAATTATTTAAAATGGAATGCCTGAGTTCACAAAGAGAGCAAAAGAAAAATAGATACATACCCAAAGCTGTGAAAAAAATATTTCTATCTAATAAAAGCCATGCACCAAATCCCAATAATAAAAGTCCAAGAACCTACAGAAAAGACAGTCGATTATATTTTTGTGATTGCCAATAAAAATGTATTACATTTTCTTTACTAAATAATTATAAAGAGTCTTACCAAGAAAGCTCCATTAATGAGATTAAGAAAGTATTTAAAAATTAATATTTTGTTTTTTCTTAACATTCTTTTTCCCTCCAGATATTGGTGTTTCTGAAAAGATAACCACAACTTTTACTATTAAGTCACCACAGTACAACTTTAAATAGTTCTGCCTATTCACATCATTTATTTACACATTTTTCTTCTTATACCAGTTGTCAATGTAACATTCCCCTCCACCCTCCAGAATATAGGGACATGCTGAAGACATCTTGAAATGAGGTCTGTCTTTTCTATGTGCACCAGGGAGTTGAGAACAAGAATTTGTATAACAAATTGGCATTTGTATAACATGCCAATAGGCACCTTACTAAACTTCTTGCAGTTTTCAGAAAGTAATATATTTTATTTTGTTCTTATTTTAACACACCTTCCTTGCTGGGAAGCTTTCCTTCACCTCTGCTTGTCCCTCCCTTTTTTCCAGAATAATGTCAACTCCTCAGTGAGGTCTCTGTGAGACCTCTGAGTAGGTCTTGTGTACCAGGATACTCCCAGAGTTTAGCACATAGTAGCTACTCAATAGATATCTGTTGAATGAATAAATGAGTAGATGAATTAGATTATTTTATTAGTGCATAATTTAGTTTAGTGTACAATGGAAGGAATAAAACCAACTTACGGCTGTGTTAATTAAAAGTTACTTATTTAAGGGTGCCTGGCTGGCTCAGTCAGTAGAGCATGTGACTCTTGATCTCTGGGTGGCTCAGTGGGTGGGCGTCTGACTCTTGGTTTCAGCTCAGGTTGTGATCTCACAGTTTTTGAGAACAAACCTTACATTGGGCTCTGTGCTGGCAGTGTGGATCCTGCTTAGGATTCTCTCTCCCTTTCTTTCTGCCTCTCTCTCTCAAAATAAATAAATAAACTTAAAAAATTCTCTAAAAATTATTTAATTTAGTTTCCTAAAACTTTTATGGGAAAGTCAACTCCTAGACCATTGGTTTTCGGTGCTTTGTTAGATATGAATGCTTTAAATTTTCTTGGGCATGTTTCTGGGTTTTCTCTTTTCCTTCACTGTTTCAATTCTACCTAGTACCATAGTTTACAGCGTTTTAGCACATGCAGTGTATAATTAAGATGATGAAAGCAGATTTAATAAGACTAATTTGAAGCTACTTGTCTCTATTTGCTAAGATCTATTTGTTGAATTGAAGGATGCCCTGAAAAGTGGAGGACTAAGAGATGTCTAGGTTAGAGTCTACACACTTCCCCTCCCTACTCTCACTTGAGGTCACATTCCTCCCTAAAACTCCACAGTTCTTCTTCCCAGCTGAAGGAGTCTCTCCAGGTTTTGTCTTCTATCATCTTCTTTGAAGTCTCCTACTGCCATTTAGTTTCTCCAGTTTCTGTCCTCCAGTCTTATTTTTAGATTCCTTCAGTGTCTGGCCTGTTTGGATAGAAGAATCAGTTGGAAAGACTAACTGGTTTTTATTTCAGTTTCTGTATGCTGTAGATATATGATTGTGGCTTCACTTCTATTTACTTCAGCCTATGAGAATATTGGGATGCTCTCCTACAGCCTAAACAAGTTCTCAGGGCTAAAGTCCTGGTCCTCTGTGAATGAGAAAGAGAAAGTAGACTAGTGAACAAGAACACTGAAGTAACTCTGGTGTGAAGTATTGAGAGACAAAGATTTGGCCGTTGATTTGGTAATAATTAGTATGTTAGAATCAGGGCTAAAATGCTTTATCAAAAGATCCAAATACAAAAATAAACTGAAGCTTATTTCTCTTTCAGTCCAAGGCGGGTAACTTGTTCTTTTCTAGGAAATCATCTTAGGGACTTGGGGCTTGCTCCAGCCTATTCCATATCTGGCTCTCAGATTTGTTCACAGGGTCACGCTTTATAGCCAGCAGAAAGGAAATGGGGGGAGGGGGTGCGCCTGGGTGGCTCAGTCTGTTAAGCGTCTGCTTTCAGCTTAGGTCATGACCTTACAGTTCACATGTTCGAGCCCCATGTCAGGCTCTCTGCTGTCTGCACACAGCCTGCTTTGGATTCTCTGTCTCACTCTCTCTCTCTGCCCCTCTCTGCTCATGCTCTGTCTCTCAAAAAGAAATAAATAAGTAATCTTAAAAAAAAAAAAAAAAGAAAGGAAAGGAGGATGAGCTAACTCGGCAAGCATCTTTTAATCAAGTGGGATGAAAGTTGCACACTTCTCTTCTGTACATATTCCGCTGGCACATACTTAGGTCTCAATGGAGGTGGAGTCAACTATGTGCCCAAGATGAAGGAAATAATTGAATTAGGGTGAAAAGAGCCAAACAAAATACCAAGCAGGTAGGGAAGGGCATTGTAAGAGATCATTATAGGGAGAAATGGAGGGCTTGGATACAGTTTCAAGATGCATTACCATGAAAAAGAAAGAATCAGAGATAATCAGAATGATTCCTGTAGGATGGGTAAATAAAAGAATAGTGATAATCACTGGCAATAGAGAAATTGGGGGAAAATTATAAATTTCATTTTTAGTAAATGAGTTTGAATTAGAAGAAGATATCTCCTAATATATCTTGTGGTTAACCACTGGAAATGGAGTGCAAGTAAATAGATATCATAGGCAATGTGGGAATTATTCACAGGGAGCTGATGTCATGGAAACGAATGAAAGAGAGTGGGATTGACTACAGATAAAAGTGAGCAGAGATTTGATAACAAACAATGACATCATTAGGAATTTCAATTTTTTAATGCAGACTTCTACAAAATGAGAACATAGTGAAAGTATGATCTCATGGAAATCAATAGAGGAAACATTTTCTAAAATAATGTTGCATGACATAGAGGTAAAAAGGGTAAGAATGCAATATTCTCAAGGTCAGCCAACTGGGTAAGAAGGCTGCTCATGGTACCTTCAAAACAGCAGTGTTTTAGTCTGTTTGGGTTGCTCTAACAGAATACCACAGACTGGGTGGCTTATACACAAAAGAAATTTATGTCTCACAGTCTTGGAGGTTGGAAGTCTGAGATCAGGGTGCCAGCGTGCATGGGTGGAAGCCTTCTTCCAGGTTTCAAACTTCCTCTTGTATCTTCCTGTGGGGAAAGGGGCTAAGGAGCTCTGTGGGATCTCTTTTATAAGAGCACTAATTCCACACATGATGGATCAACCCATGACCTAATCACCCCTTAAAAGTCCCATTTTCGAAAAAGTACCCTAAAAGTACCATCACATTGTGTATAAAGATTGCAACATGTGAAGTGTGGGGGAATACAAACTTTCAGATCACAGCAAGCAGTTCACGTCAAAGAGTTAGAAGACAACAAATAGGGTGTCTAAGCAACAAGTCAAGGAAGCCTGTAGCCATATTTGCACAGAATGAGAACAGGGGATGGTCATATGCTGATCTTTCCAGTCACAAGCCCCACACACCGGAAACAACATCAATGAAAATAAAGACGTGCTAACACAAAGATACACAAGTTCTTATTTAAATATTTGTAGTGTGGAAGAACTTTGTATTATTGTCATTATTTTACTATAGACAGAGAATTTGTTTTTAACTTAATCAAATAAGGTCCTGGTGTGGCATTTCTTTTGTTCATTTCCTGATTAGTTAATTAATGGTCCAATAGCTGAGATATTTATTAGTAATATTAAAGCTACAGGGAAAGACAATTTACAAGGATTTCCCTATTCATAGGTGTCATTTTTCATGAGTTAAGTAATAGTCTAATTACTTTTTATTATCATTTTTAAGTTGCTTCTGAGTGCCAGGAGATAGAGGCAAAAAAATGAATAAACAACCTGTCAGGGAGTCAAATATCAAAACCTGGGGCCAACTCTTAATTCTGTGTTTGAGGTGTGGGGACAGGGAATAAGCACAACTGGGAAGTTTTAGAGAGAAGACAAATTTGAGATAATCCTTGAAGGATGCTTAAGAAGGTCCCAGTCAGACAAAAATGGGGTAGACAAAGGAAGATTTCAAGACAGATGGAACACTGTGTTCACAAACTTTACAATGAAGGGTGTGGGGGCATGGGTCGAATGGCAAGAGATGAACAATAAGGCTAGAGAAGTAGATTCAGTAAAGATTGTGAAAGATCAGGTACGCTTTGCTAAGAAATGACTTTTATTTTTCTGCAGGTATTGGAAACCATATTTCCATCATCAGCGTGGAAGTCAAATTAGAAAAGAAACCTAAGACAGCGAGATACTTTATGAAGCTGATGTACTAGTTCACAACAAATGAATGTAGTCTAAAGTACAAGATAGTTGTGGGGATGGAGAACAGTACCAGGATGTGAGAGAAACAACAGGAGGTAGAATTGCCAGCAGTGGGATGTTAGAAAAAGCCCAAAACAACACTTGAAACCAGGTCTATAGAGCTTAAGTACTTGGGCTAGCAACATTATGCCATGTTTTACAATATGTCATTTATATGGGTTGCCTTGACCATCAAAGTTTATCCCCAGGATTGTCAATGACCAAAGAGACTCAGGAAGGTAAAATAAGCTTCGTGAGTTCACCTAGTTAATATTTGGCAGAGCTAAGAATCAAACCCATAGATATAAACCACTTTCTTGCTACTCTTTCCAGGCCCCCATGTCATCATCTTCAAATGTAGATTATAGGAACATCAAAGGGATGTTGTGAAAACAAGATATGATGTGTTAAACAAGATTATGTTTGTAAAGCATTTAGTCTAGTACTGGGCTAAATGTTATTATGGTACAGTGATCTTTTCTTTGAAAAAAATATATTAGAGAGAAAGAGAGAGTGTGAACAGGGGAGAGGGGCAGAGAGAGAGAGAGAGAGAGAGAGAGAGAGAGAGAGAGAGAATCTCAAGTAGATTTCATGCTCAGCATTGAGCCCAAGGCAGGGCTCCATCCTATCACCCTGGGATTATGACAGGAGCCAAATTCAAGAGGTGGATGCTCAACCAACTAAGCCACCCAGGTGCCCCTAGAATAGTAATCTGATACAAGGGAGGTGCACACGAGGTTGGGAAATGGGATGGGAACTGTAGGAAAGTGATGAACTCAAGTAGGTAGTCATGTCAGCTGCAGACAGAGAGCACCAAAAGGGTTAGAGGAGGAACTTGAGAGCTCGCAATAGTCTTTAAATGGAAAAAGAGAAGCAGAGGTCTAAGAATCCAACACTACAGGTCACATATTAAAACTATTATTACTCAATAGTCATCCTCAAGAAAATAAAACAAACACCTGGTATGCAGCTATTTGAGAACTATAATGATACTCTGGGATATTTAAATTTTATCACTGCTGAATAAAAACTAAGACAACTGTTGAACAATGTTTTTAAACTAAAGTAATCTCACTACTCAACTAACATTTCCGAAGAAATCTTTTCTTGTTAGATATCAGAAGAACAAATAGTTCTCTTTCATCCTTTTATTTCCTCAATGAATATTATGTGCTCTCTAAGGGAAATATAATGTGTTAGGTCAATTGGCTATAAATACAATCATTCAGATACTTTTCAAAACAAGAGCAGAATTTAATGAAAATAAAGTTATGTATTAAAAAGGAAAAAAATGCAGGCTAAAATGTTATAGACAAACTAACCTGCTCAATTTTAGACTATGCTTTCTAGGAAGATTGCAATGAAATAAATTTATGTTAAATGCTGCATAGTTAAGCAATAGTTTCTTAAATTTTTTTTAACGTTTTATTTATTTTTGAGACAGGGAGAGACAGAGCATGAACAGGGGAGGGTCAGAGAGAGGGAGACACAGAATCTGAAACAGGCTCCAGGCTCTGAGCTGTCAGCACAGAGCCCGACGCGGGGCTCGAACTCACAGACCGCGAGATCATGACCTGAGCCGAAGTCGGCGGCTTAACCGTCTGACTCAGGAGCCCCGTTAAGCAATAGTTTCAAGTTAAATTGATTTATAATCTGTAACTATTTGGGGTGCTTGGCTGGCTCAGTTGGTTAAGCAGCCGACCTCAGCTCAGGTCATGATCTCACAGTTTGTGGGTTCCAGCCCCAGATCTGGCTCTGTGTTGACAGCTCGGAGCTCAGAGCCCAGAGCTCAGAGCCTGAAGCCTGCTTCTGATTCTCTGTCTCCTCTCTGCACTTCCCCTGCTCTCTCTCTCTCTCTCTTTCTCTCTCAAAACAGAACAAAACACAAAACATAATATGTAACTATTTGAGATAATTGTTGTATTTTATTTCTTAATTCGTGATATTAATTAATGACAGCTAAGTAATGACTAATTGATAGGGTTGTCAGTTTTCTTCCAGGTAAAAAATAACATAAGAATATAATAGGTGTAGTAACATGCACCATGGATGAATTTATTCTCAGGAGAACTCTAAATATTTGTCTTTTTTGCTAATCAGTTTGTTTGCCAGGGTAAGATTTAAGAAAAAAAGCAATTTAGACATTACATTCAAATAAGTTGACTACTAAGTTAGCTATTTAAAATTAGTTCTGGAAATTAATTGATTACTAATGGATTTGATATTTTTTAATAAAAGCGTGAATAGTTTCATAATTACAAATAAAACCAATCTTAAGATTTTTACATGTGAATTTCAATATGATTCGATATCCTGAGTGTTTTCAATGAAGAATTTGAATAGTCTGCAAATTTGCAACAAAACTAAACTAAAAACAAAAGAAAAAATGGCACTTGAGCATGGATTTTGATAATAAAAAATATCCTAACTTTTAATTAGATTTGAAACCAGAGGTAGTTTATTTTTCAAAATCATTACCGTTCTTGAGTGAGGCACTGTGTTTTTTAATATCAAAAATCTACTTACTTCTCATTGTATATTACTCATTCTTGTGTTGATGCAATGTTAGTTGTTACCAGGAAATAGTCTATTTTCTTTCAAAACCTCAGTGAAATGTTTGCGTTTAGTTTATCGTATGTCAGATATCTTTTACAATTATGCTTAGCCACTTCCTCTTGGAATTTAATAGTTTGCAAACTTAAAAAAAATTAAAATCAGAAATACCTGTTATTAACTAAAATAAAGTTCACATTTTGTACACTATGTATTTGCTCCACAAAAAAAGAAACTTAGATGAATTTAGAAGTTAAAATTAAATAGCATGATATATACTTAAGCTTAAAATTTTGTATGAAAATAGTGGGTGTCACTGTCAATATTTTACAGTAAAACATATTCCAGAAAAGAATTTTTAAATACTTTCACCCTATACATTGAGAGGTTTTTGATAGGCATTGAGTGATAATTGACTTATTTACTTTTCCTTTTAAAAATAAACTGCTGTCGTGTAAAGCAACGGCTTTATTGGCTTCTTTTCCACACTTCCCGCCCCACAAATCACTATTCAAGATTAAGGTTTAGTGGCAGGACCAGTTGATACATGGACAAATAAACATTCTCTAGATGGAAGTAATAAATATAGATCAGAAACAGTTAAAAGTTCAGGCTACCTCCACTTGGCTAATTGTAACAAAATGTTTCTTTATTAAATACTTTCTAAAAGTATTTAAATGTTAAAACTTACCTGGAAAAAAATGTGAAGTTCCTCGTCCAACTCCTGAGATGCAGCTTTCGTTCCAATTTCGAGCGGAGACAGTTTGTCCTACTGGGGCACCGGTAAGAAAAGACCGGTCCATCTTCCTTGGGATTGGTTGTTGTCGTGGTTACGCTTTGTTTGGAGTCTCTGCGCGCTGTCTTCCAACCCAGCCGAGGGATTTAGTCGCTAGTGGGTGAGCCGGAGCCCCTCCAAGCTGGGGTAGGTGGCGCGGGAGGCGACACAAAGCTGTGGGAGCGGGGAGCGCAAACGGAGGCGGGCTCCTCTCCGCCGAGGCCAGGCTTTAGGACAAACGGTGGGGCCCGCGGGCTGAAGGGGTGGCTGCGCGAGTCTAGGCTCTCTTAGATTTTGGAGATTTCGTGGCTCACTCAAAACTTGAAGACCCACCGTAACGATCTAGGGAGATTTCTATAATTACCTTTCTTCCCCCTCCCTAAACGACACTTCCTTTCTTGCCTCCTTCCCCTCCTTTCCTTTCCTTTCCTTTCCTTTCCTTTCCTTTCCTTTCCTTTC